ACAGGCACTGCCCCTTCCTCCCCCGGGGTTTCTGGGCACCCTCACTATTAGGGACTTTCTAGAGTACAAATAGGTCTTCTGGTCAACGTCCTACCTGATTTTTTTTATTAAGTGAATCTACTTTTTTTTTTTCTCCCTTATTTTATTTGAAAGGCAGTAAGAGAGACAGAGGAAAAAGATCTTTCATCACTGGTTCACTCCCCAAGTGTATGCAACAACCAGGGCTGGGCCAGGCCAGAACTAGGAACCTCGGGCTTCAATCTGAGTCGGGTCCCAGAGCTACCGTCTTCTACCTCTAGGGTGCATGTTAGCAGAACACTGCATCACATCAGAGTAGTCAGGACTCAAATCGGGCACTACCATAAGGGACACAATAGGGGATGTGGCAGTCTAAGCCCTGTATTTAATTATTTAATGTTTATGTAATTATTTGAAAGGCAGAGTTACAGAAGGAGGGGGGGAAGACAGAGAGAGAATCTTCTATGTGCTGGTTCACTTCCCAGATGGCTGTAACAGTGGAGACTGGGCCAGATCAAAGATCTCCCTCGAGGATGGCAGGGGCTCAAGCACATGTGCCATCTTCTGCTGCTTTCTCACGTGCATTAGCATGGAGCTGGATCAGAAGTGGGGCAGCTGGGACTCAAACTGGCACACACATGGGATGGCAACACTGCAGACAGCTATACCACAACAAGCCATCTTGATTTTAGCCTCTGTACCAAAGGTCTGTCCCTTGCCACCCCAGCTTTATAGATGAAGAAACAGAGTTGGGTCAGTGAATTGGGGGCCAATATGGTGATGCATCCATCCTGCCTTACCCTGCTTTGAGCTGCAGTGTGGAGACCAGAGCTCTTGTCTTTGGTCCCCAGGTGTGGTTGTGTTTGGTGACACTGAAGTTAGGCACACAGGGGGTTGGGCTGATGAAAACTCATAGAGGGCTCTAGGATAGGAGCCAGCCCTCACACACACACAGTTCATATGCAGCCGTTACAACTGTAGCAGGTGCAGCTGTGAGTCTCCAGGCACCTGGGGGTGGAGGAAGCCAGGAGGGAGCTTTCATTTCCCTGCTTGTGGGCCCAGGAGATCCCAGAGGAGAATGCTCCTGCTTTCACATCTACTCCCATGTCAGGGTGACCTCCCTCCTCCTCTCCCAACATTGCACCCCTTCTCCCAATGCTACCTCTTCCTACTCAGCCTTGAGCAGAGGCTGCCTGCCTTCTGCCCATCTCTGGGCTTGCAGCTCGCTTTCCTGACTCAGGGCTATTCACTGCTTGACCTTGGATGCTCTGATCCCCAGAGAACAGAGTCGAACCCCTGTTCTGGGTGGGCCGCTGCGCTCTGGAATGGTCCTGGGTCAGAGCAGAGAGAAGAGCCTGAAGTTGAATTCTGGATGGTGCAGGCCATGCCTGGGGAACATAGCTTACCCTTCCTCCCTGCCTGGAGCCCTTGGCAATCCCCGGCTCTAGGTAAAGATGACATGGGCATTCTCAGATTCTCAGACCACTTCTGTTTTGCACCTGCTTCCCCCGGCTGGCCGGCTAGGGAGAGGGGAAGGAGTCTCCACATGTGGGACAACTGATTCCCAATAGTCTTGACACCATGTTCAATGCTGGGCGACTCAGTTTCTCTCCTCCATGGCCTGGCCTGCCCCAACCTAGCTCCCTGGAGGGCGGGTCCTCTCTGCCTCCTCTGCTTCCTGTTTGTGAGTGGTTAGGTCTTGCGGCTTCGCTCCCCTCGTCTCTACGCAAGCAGGTTATCTGGGCTGCCATCTCTGTGTTCTCTCCTGCTCCCCTGCCTGCCTGCCCACCCACCCACTGGGCGCTTAGGCTCATGTGGCTTGAAGAGAGGGTTTGGTTTTCTCCCTGACCTTCCTTTGTGAACCGTGAGCTCTGGTCATTTCTCCCACCTCCTGTGCCTGCTCGCCTTGGAGACTTAGGCCTGGAAAAGCTCTTATTCTCTCTTGCTCTTGCATGGTCTCTCCTACATTCCCTTCCACTTGCACTTACTTCCTCCAAGAAGCTCTCTCTGATGGGCCCTGGGTCTTTGAGATTGCCCCTCCAGCACCCAGTTGCCCAGCTGGTAGCTCCTGCCCACCCACGTGAAGGCCTACATTGTGCTTGCTGCCATGATTTTGTGAGATGTCGGGGTGTGTGCCGGGATGTATGTGTGTTCTGTTTCACTACCCCGCACCTTCCCCCGGCTTCCCTGCTCACTCCGTGTAGGATCTGGGCGCTCCCATCAGACCTGAAGCACTGCCCTTGCTTTGGGTACAAGTAGCTCATGCACACCAATCCACAACTCCCCCACCTCTGCCGCATTGTTCATCCAACCTTGAGTGTCCAGGGACAGGTTCTCTGATTGTGTCCCTTGTTCCTCAGCTCACCTTGACACACACAGGTGGCCGTCTGAGGTTGCTGAGCTGGAGGTGGGAGCAAGGACGTGTGAGCCTGGAGCATGCTCCAGTATCCCAAGCCCAGGCTCCCATCCCCTCCCTCTCACCTGGTGAAGGGCTGGTCCCACCCTGTGGCTGCTGCAGCTGCCCCTACCCTCTGACCTTGCCTGAGTGGGAAGCCGACCCCTGAAACAGGACGGGCGCTGAGATGGGCCTTGGAGGGTAGTGTCCAGCAGAGCCTGCGAGCTGAGGTTGCCAGGCTCAGTGTGTGACCAGGAGTGGAGACAGGAGTGAGAGACAGGCCTCTTTCCCTGAGGGGCTGTGGTCTCCACCCATCCCCAATGCCTTCTGGGCATCCTCCTGTGCCCTGGCCCTGGGTTCCCAGGTGGGGCTGCCTGTGTCTTTCAGGGAGGAGGACTTTCTCAAAGCCTATATCTTAGGACACATCTGGTGGGTTCTCTGGATTTTGTGTGTGTCCAAAGGTACCTGCTGGTCAGTCGCATGGGTCACACATGTGGGTTATGCTGGCCCAGGGCAGAGCTTCCGGGATGGCACCCCTGGTGTATGTGCAAGCGGACACCCGACCCCGCACGCCGTATTTCTGACACTTCTTGATGTTTCTGTGTTTGTGATGGACTCTGCCCCTTCTCCTATCCTGGATTTTGTCTCAGCAGGACTGAGAGTCCTGGCTGGGTTTGGGGTGGGGGAATGGGAGGCCAGAATGTGGACATGCTGAGCCCTTCGGAATGGGGGCCAGCAAGGGCCCAGCCCCTCTGGGAAGCTGCAGACTGCTTGCAGAAGCTCTGTCAGCAAAGAGGCTGGTCCCCGGCTCCCTCCAGGAGAGAACAAGCCAGTGGTGGTGGTCTATGGGCAGTGGGGACGCTCAGAGAGAGACTGGCCTGGTTTCCCAGGGGAGCAGCAGTAGCCATGCCACCCCACCCCCACTCCCCGCCACCTTGCTAGGAAGAGAAGAAGACCTGGGTGGAGGCAGCTAGGTGACAGGGTACCCCTTGGAACCTCAGTTGAGGCTGGGCCCAGGTATTAGCTCCCTGGCTCCCACCCGGGGGGCACCTCTTCATGCCTGAGAACACCCTCAGTAGGGGTTGCTGGAAATGAGCTGGGGCTGGAAGTATGGTCCTGGAGGCTGGGGGGTCCAGGAGCCCAGATCACTGCACAACTTCGATACTCTTATCCGCTTATCGCTGCAGGCAGCCACTTCCCCTCCACCCAGGGACTCGGCAGCGATGGTCTCTTAAAGGAGCACAATCCCATTTCTGATCAGCTGGACTTCCAGGGTCACCCTCCTCCCACTTGCTCTTTAGACCCCACGACTGTGCCATGCTAGGGGCCTGGGAAGACAGGGCATTCCTGAGCGCGGGTCCCCTCGTTGGCGGCGGAGGCTGCGGGCAGCCTCCCTCCCAGCCTCCCTCCGCCTTGCCTCTGCAGCCCACCGTTTCTGAGATCTCTCTGAGGCTTTGTTCCTGATGGGGCAGGCCCATGGCCTTCTAGGGAGGAGTCTCCTCTCACTTCTGCCTCTCCTGCCCCCTTCCTGCAACCTCATTCCTCTTGATTCCAGAACCAAGCTCCCGCTAAGGGGCTCAGAGATCAGTTGGGGGAGAAGCTGTGGCCCAGACTCAACCTCCCCAGCCCAGTTCCCCCCTGCCCAGTCCCAGCCCCCCTGCTCCCCTCCCCCAGCCAGGGGCCCTGAGCTGGGCAGCTTCCTGCCTTCCCCATGGGGAAAGCGGGGGTGGTGTGCAGGTGGGTGGGCCCCGTGCCCACATCCGGTGGCCTCTAGAACCTCCTGTCACAGCCTCTTTCCTCCGTCCAAGCCTCTTCCCTCCGGCCTCCACGCACCTGAGTAGCCCATCTGAGCACCCACCCTGGTCCTCATCATTCCTCTGCCGTGCTCACTGGTCCTTGCATAAATCCTCAATCCCTCTGACCTGAGTGTGAGATTCACCCCCCCACCCCCACCCCACACACACACACTGTGCAGTAAGAGGGCCAGGCCTGTTCTCCCAGGGCAGGGTGTAAGGACAGCTGACCAGGAACCCCTCTTGCACTGGGACTCCCATGGCCCCTCTGGGGAGCACCGATCGGGAAGCCATGGCTTGGCCTGACTGTCCAAGAGGAAGAGGAGTCTTCTGGGCCAGGGTCTGTGGGGACAGCCCTCAGGGACAAAGTCTTTTGCTTGTGTTTGGATTCACAGTGCCCTGTTTTGAGCACCCACCAAAGACCTGCCAGGGAGCCCTGTGGCACCCCTCCCCCGCACCCACTCTGCGCGCCCTAGTCAGTCAGTCCCAGCCCCGTGCACTAACTGCTGTAGCTGGTGCACACTTTAGGGGTGGGGGAGGGGGAAGAGGGCAAGGCTGGGGTCCCAGAAGCCACCTGTCCAGAGCATGAGATGATCTTCTCAGCCCCCTCCCGCCACTCCTGGCCTTGTCTCTGGTTTCCTGTCAGTCTGTCCTCCCCAGGGAGGGGAGGGGTGGCTGATCTCTGCTGCGGTGTGGGGGCGGGCTCCAAGACCGTTGGGCGCCCCGAGCTCTGGCCCACGTGGCCTCGGGGTTATAAGCCCTGCCCGCCTTGAAGGGAACCCCATTTCGGAGCCTGGAGCCCGGGGCTTGTTCCTCTCCAGCCCTGCAACCTCAGGTAAGAACTACAACCTTCACTTTAGCCCTAGCCAGGGCGTCTGGATACTATGCCTCCATGAGCCTTCTGGATAATACGCCTCCAGGGCTAAGGTTGCAGGCTGAGGGATTGGGGTTAGGACAGCAGCATGGGTGCCAGCGCTGAGCAGGGCAGCTCTAGGCACACAGATGCAATGACCCTTGGACCTGTAGGACTTCTGGGGGGCAGTGCCTCAGGATCCTCCCTGGTGGAAGGGTCTGGTGCCTGGCCTGGGGAAAGAGGGAAGCAGCTTAAGATTAAGGGAGAGGTGGCAAGGGCCAGAAACTCGGACTGGAGACAGAAAGAGGTGCCATGTGCCTTCCTTCACCTAACATGGCAGTGGCTTTGGCCATGAGACCATTGGATTTGTGCCGGGGAGCTGCAGGGCAGTGGCTGGCAGGTTTTGAACCACGGGACAATGGCGGACGGGCTGTGGACCCAGGCCTAGGCAAGAACTTGGCTGTGGCTGCCTCAGTGGCCTTCTGGAGGGTGGGTGTTGTAGTCGAGAAGGGGACATCAGGCCTGGAGGCTGGGGTCAGGCCTTCAGAACCGCTATGGCCTCTACCTGAGGGTCCTTGAATGTGGGGCTGGGGTGGAGCCTGGGGGGAGGGGAAGAGGGAAACAAAGAGGAAGTGGGGGGGAGAGGGAGAACAGGCAAGTCTGGCGCCATGCTGAGTCACCGCCCACAAGGCCCTGGGCCGGGCCCACTGAGGGCCATGGGCAAGGTGTAGGGGGTCTTCGGAAGCCACAGGGTGGGCTGGGGGGCTTCCCAAGCAGGAGCTGAAAGAAGAGCGGGCGGCTTGAAGACTCCACGCACCGAAGGATAGACAGACAGTGCAGTCACCCATAAAGTAGAAAGCACTACTAACAGCACTGGAGGGTGTAGTGTTTCCTACTTTATGGATGAGTGTACTGTGGGCTTCGGACCACGCCGCCGCCGCCTGCGGCCTCACTTCAGGACCCAGTGGCACAGGTGAGCACTTCAGGCGTCCCTTCTCCCGCCTAGACCCCTGGCAAGGCTCCCGACATCCCCCCCGGCAGTGCTGCCTTCCCTTCCAGACAACCTGGGAGGGGCACCAGCCGCCCCCTGCCACCGCTGCTGGGCTGACCCAAAGTCTAGGTGGGAGCCATAGGGTGGGGTCGGGAGTGGGGTGGCAGCGCAGGGCATGCGGACCCCAGGGGCAGCCATAACAGGTGGGTGGGGAAGCGTGGGGTCCCTGGAAGGGTGGGCGCATGGAAGGGCTGCTGACAGTAATAAAGAATGCAATCTGTTTCTCTCTTGTCCGAGTCTCTGTTGCTGGGTGAGGGGAGAGGGCACATGGCTATGGTGCTACACACCAGGGTTGAGATGGGGGTGGTCAGGCTCGCCCTCCCAATGGGATGTGCAGGGCTCTGGGCCTTCCAGGCCGCAGCTGGGGGAGGGAAAGGCCTAGCTCGGGGGAGGGAGGACTTGTTGGCAATCTGAGGGCGGGGGCAGGACACGGCGGGGTGCTCCCACCTTCTGCCCTCCGCTGGCTCTGCCTTGTCCCTCCACCATTTACAGCCACGAACTGAAACCGCTTATCTTCAGTTTTAATCTAAGAAAGGCCTGGGGACCCTTAAAATGTAAGAATTGAGCCAGGATGCAGCGTTTCACACATAGACAAGTCCACAGATAACAAGCAAAGCACACATACCAGCACGTGTTTGCATTTTCACACATATATGACAGGAACACACAAGGACAGTGAGACAGCTCAGTGACATAGCTCATGTGGCACAACACGACACACAGGGCTACACACACACACCCAGGGCATATAATCAGTATGATGGGAGCTTCAAAAAATCCTGGAAAATGGAATTAAAAGATAAGTTTACTTTAATGCAAATAATGTTGAAATCATGCTTCCAATAGTTTGTGGGAACTGTACCTTATGCAGTGACTGGATTTCAAGGTTGTTTGTGGTAAAATAAAATCTTTTAAATTTAACTGATCATGAACTTCTGGAATTAACCCGTTACACCATCACACAATGACATAACCATATGTGGCACAGGTCACATACAGAAAAGCATGCAAATGTAACTGACATCCACATGATAAAGGCGGAGCCTTCATACACATGTGTGGGTGATACACATTCGTACATGGTAGTACATCCGTAGATGCCTAGGGACATGTTCAGCCGGTCACCAGGCACGTACAGGCATATGTATATACACCAAGACAGCGGGCCCTCCTCATCACAGGCTTTCAGGAGTCAAGCGTACTCAACATTCACAGCCCTTTTTCTTATTCTCCCACACGCAGTATGACAATGATGAGGCGTTCCGTGATGGTAGGCACTTCGGCTCATCTAGAGCCGATTCCCTGCCTGTGGGAAAAAGCACGTCAGGGGCTGTCACACCCTGCCTGGGGTCTCCGCTCCAGCCAGGCCCTGGCTCCCTGGACATCAAGCAGACACAGCACCATTTTACAGAAGGAGCTCAAGCAGTCATGGGCCTTGGGACTAATCCTCACAGACACTGTCGGATGAACATACGTCTGTGTCCGTGCTGTTGCATGCGTTGTAGGTCATCAAACACTGACACATCACCTATGGTGGTGTAGTGCCTGTAGTGCCAGCAGTGGCACATGGCAACACATGTATTAGGACCCAGGTGTTATAATTGGTATACAATGATAGCCTTCCATGTATATATCAGCATACACATAGACACTGTGACATATAAACTTATAGATAATATATGCATATATGCAATGACACACATAGAAACATACATGCATAAACACCCAATGAAACTCAGATACAATACACACACACTCTGGCCCCTGTACATATACAGAAATTTGTCTATTCTGTGAATGCATGCAAGCAACGGCACGCACATATGAGCATGCTCAGACCTAAACATTGGCCACACACATCAGGTGGCGGTGTGCCCATCAGTCTACACTTTGCTTTAGGGAATTAAGATGTCCCCTCCTCCCATGTAGACGCACCCCCAGACCCACTGCTCTGACCTGGGTGGGGCTCACAAGCTGGGACTCTCTTAGTTCAGTGCTGTGGCTGCTGTTCTCTGGGGATGCCACACGAGGGCCCCCGACCTAAACGGAGACGGACTTGTCCACTGAATCCCAGGTTCAGTGTGTGGGGTGGTTGCCTACAGGGCCTCTCTCAACACCCTTGTGTTAGGGGACTCCATCTAGGCTCCATCCAGTCCCACACAGAGGCTGACTCCTAGCTGTGTGTGTGGGGGGGAGAGAGTCCCACATGGCTGTCCCCCAAAAGCCATTTTTCTCACAGCAAAAAGGCCTAAGGCTGGATAGCAGATGGATTCCCTGAGAATTCTGGGCCAAGCCAGGTGGTCTCCTCGGCTGGCCTGGGACAGCCAGGGTGCATCCCCAGTGTGCCAGGAAGGCACTGAAGCAATCCCTCAGCCTGCTTGGTCCCAGTGCCCTAATTTCTTTGTCTCACCTCAGCTGCTGTCTTTTCTGGTCCTGCCCTTCTCCGCGGCTTTCCTGTTCCACCCGGTGTAGGGAAGGTCGGTCTGCAGCCCCTACCTGGGGTGGAGGAGGGTATGCAGGGACGAGGCTGGGAAGCTACCGTGGCGAGTGCTGGACTGGCATCCTGCGAGGAACCTGCTCTTCCCTCTGTCCCGGCCCTGCCAGCAGGTCCAGCCCACCAGTCGGGGCGCCATCACCATGGAAACCAGCAGCCGACTTCCTATTGGTGCGCGGGAGGGGAGGGGGAGGGGAGGGCTGCTTCTCTCCTGCTCGCCACCTCCCGCCCCCCATTCTGAGACTCAGTCCTCTTTGGTGCCCACCGTCGCCAGGCTCTGGGGCTGTGAGGGACCCCTGCAGTCCCCAGAACTGAGACCAGCAGGGGCAGAGACTATGAGGCAAGCAGCCCATCGACCCAGGCCTCCTTAGGACCAGACCTGCCAGCCACCAAGGGAGTGAGCAGCAGCGGAGACGGAGCAGGAGATAAAGGACCACAGCGGATCACTGCTTTCCCCCAACACATACCGCTCCCGAGGACTCCAGCCAGGCTAAAGGGTCATGACGGATGATCAGACTCACAGAGGATGACGGCCACATAGCCCCGATGCACCCAGCTGCACAGCACTGAGCCCCTCAACGACAGCCAGTGACACCAGCATATATCGCCACAGCCCTGCAAGACAGACACCTACCCACCCACACACACACACAGCAACAACTGGCAACTCTGACACAGCGCAGACAGCTACACACAGCACCACCGCCCTGAACACACACAAGTGGGAGCATCCTCCCCTAAACACGGACAGACCTGGCTGTATAGACAGGACTGCTGCTACTACCGCTGCTGGGCTGGCCTCGGCACATCCTTCCCACCCCCCGGGGGACACCCTTGCCGTTCCACATACTCACACACACGCACAGCCACCATCCAACAGTGCTTGCGGCACCCCTTGCTTCAGCTCCTGCAGCTCTGACGCCTTCATAAGCCTGCTTTGTGGGGGAGGAAGCACCCGGCCAGCCTCGGATGGAGCTTTGGTGAATCTAGCAGCTCAGAGAGGAAGGGTCTGGCCCAGCCTGACCTTCCACAGCCACCTGCTGTGGCTGGGTGATGTCCCCCGGCCCAGGTTCTGGGGCCCCTTGGCACTACCATGGAGCAACTGACAACCCTCCCGCCACCTGGCGACCCCGGAGCCTTGGAGCCATGGACACTGCCTGCCTGGCAGAGCTGGCCTCCGGGCCAGGGGGGTGAAGCTGGAATCATAGCCCCAAGCATTGCTGCCACTCCGGCAGTTCTGCAGGCTGGAGAACAGAGACCTGAGGAGAGTTCCACGGTGGAGAGAGCCTGCAACCCTGGGGCCGAGGTGGGCATGGACCTGGAGGGAACAGAGGCTGGGCTGCTTCCCCGGGGGGAGCAAGCAGTGGACCCTGGACCTTGGCACCTGAAGCCGGACGAGGAGAAGGAGGTGGAGGCTTTCCTTAAGGTAGGAGCTGCTGAGGGCTGGGCTCTCCTGCAGCCTAACTAGGAGGCTAGGTGAGATGTGTCACCGCACTTCCCACCTCTCCCACTCCTGTGTCCTGTCTGGTCCAAGTGTCTATCTCTCTGTGTCCTCCCTTCATTTGGAGAGAAATTTCAGTGGCTCCATATTTTTTTTTTCGGTAGGGGGAGGTGGGGGTTGCATTTGTCTGTCTGTCTATGTCTGGTGCCACCCAGCCCCTGCACTGCCTCCTCCTTGTTACTCTGAAAATCTGTCTGTCCTTGGTAGCTGGAGGGTGTTGGGGTGCATGGAGGCATCTGGTGAAGTCAGAGTCCAGGGGAAGCAGATTCAGGGGGAGGCTCATGGGCAGGCAGTGGGGGAGCAGGGCGTTGGAAGGAGCACCTCAGGGGTCAGCGGGGGACTTGTGGGCCAGGAGAGTATGGGCAGGAGCCACAGGGAAGACTCCAAGCTGAGGACAGACAGCTGGACAGCCCCCCTCCTGGGCTTCCTGTGCTGGTGTATTGGAAAGCCTGGGATGGGGAAAGAACTTACTTGCTCATCTCACTGTGCCCGTGGCTGTGGAGGGGGTTGCTACTGTAGGAGGGACTCTGCATGGGGGGGGTCACTGAGGGGGCTGTCCCCTATCCTTTCCCGCGTCAGGCCAAGCTGACCGTGGGCTTCGGCAACAGGCCCAATCTGGAGCTACTGAGGGCCCTGGGGGAGCTGCGGCAGCGCTGTGCCATCCTCAAGGAGGAAAACCAGATGCTGGTAAGGCTTGGAAAGTGGGGCCCTTGGCCTCCATGCTCTCCTCACTCAGGAACACGTGTCTAGGCGGGGGCTCCTGGAGGTGACCCAAGCCCCAAGTGGCTAAGCCACCCTGGGTCAAGGTTGCCAAGGGCCGGGGCTCCAGGCTTCCCACATACCCCAATTCTGGCTGTCCCCTTCTTAGAGGAAGAGCAGCTTTCCGGAGACGGAGGAGAAAGTGCGGCGGCTGAAGCGGAAGAATGCCGAGCTGGCGGTCATTGCCAAGCGCCTGGAGGAGAGGGCGCGGAAGCTGCAGGAAACTAACCTGAGGGTGGTGAGGATGGAGCCGGAAGCCCAGGGGAAGAGGGGAGCTGGGGTCTGCACCCTGCAAAGCAGGGGCCCAGGCACTGGAGGGTATGAAGGGCCCAGGCGAGCCAAGTGAGGCAGCTGAGATGTCTGGGATACAGCAGGGAGAGGAGGCCTGGCAGAGGAGGTTCCTGAGCTGACAGGGAGCAGGAAGCCGGATTGCCACACGTGTGGTGCCTGCTGCAGCCTCTGGCTGAGCTCATCTGGGGTGTGGAGCTGGAGTGGGGGAAGAGTAGGGGTGGCAGCCCCGAATTAGCAGCAGCCTCTGGGCCTCCTTGAAGAGGCGGCATTAACCCTTTCAGTCCTGCTTGGCAGCTGCTGGGTGAGGTGGGCTGGTCTCTGAGACCACAGTCAGCTGGGATACTGATGCAGGAGACCAGATTCACAAGTTTTCATTCTGGCATCTTCTGCAAAGATTAGCTGGGGAGTGGGAGAAGCGCCCCAGCCCTCAGGTGACCTCTGGCCTTACCCCTCCTCTGGCTAGGTGAGTGCCCCTGTGCCCCATCCGGGAACCAGCCTGGATTTGTGTCGGAAGGCCCTAGCCCACCAGCGAGCCCGGGACCTTAGCGAGACCGCCAGCGCACTGCTGGCTAAGGACATGCAGATCGCATCCTTGCAGCGCGAGTGCAGGGAGCTGCAGGCCCGACTCAGCCTGGTAGGCAAGGTGCGTGGAGGCCAGGCTCGATGCTGTCAGCGGCCCGCGCTCAGCCTGTGGGATGCGGACCAGACGTAAATGAAATGCAAATGAAGCGGGGAGGTTGGTGGAGGATGCTGGGGAGTAGGTTCCCCTGGCAACGGCCCAGGTGGGAGAGGGGGCAGGGAAAGAGCCTGGACTGAAGGGGTGGAGCCAACCGCCGCAGACCTGGGCAGTTCTGCGCCCCAGGCTGGAGACCTGTGCCAGCGCGTGTGACTGCTTGAATATACACACACACCCCTCACGCCGGTGTGCAGGAATGCTCATTAAGCGCCTAGCACAGGACCGGCGAGTCGCAAGCGTCCCGCAAAGCAGTCGCGGTGGTTGTCTACCCCCAGGCTAGCGAGGCTAGTGCCAGCAGAGGCGCGCTAAGAGGACCCCGCAGGGACGGAGGGGAGGACGTGCACGTCTCCGTCCGGTCTCTCGGGCCAGGTGGTGGCTAGCGTGGGGTTAGGTCTGACTCTGCTCTCTGTCCCCTCACTCCAGGAGGGTCCCCAGTGGCTCCACGTGCGGGATTTCGATCGGCTGCTGCGCGAGTCGCAGCGGGAGGTACTGCGGCTGCAGAGGCAGATCGCCCTGCGCAACCAGCAGGAGCCACCTCCTCCGCTCCGGCCTCAGGACCTCGCAGTCCCGGCCAAGGCAGGGGTGCCGGCCCCCGGGGCCCCGGGAGAGGTGAGCGCCCGCGTCAGGGCAGGTGTATGGGTGTGTGCAGGTGTGGGGTGCGAGCGACCCTGGGATCCCTTCCCACTTGAATCGAGTTTAAAACCCGGAGAAGCCGATGTTGGCGTGCGCACTCCCAGGGTCTGGAGAGCTTTCCTGGCCCGGGGCAGCTCCCCCCCCCCCAAGGATCCGGGGTTTCGCCCTCCGGAGACCTGCGCCCCGCGGGGCCAGCCAGGCCGCCCCTGCTGCGCTGCCAGTGGTACGGCCCAGCAGCAAATCCCTGGTTGCCCTGGCAGCCGCCCGGGGCCCAGCCCGTGCCGCCTCCTGCCGTCGCCGCCACCGCAGTGGAGCGGGGACGCCCCCTTCAGAGTCTGCGCGGCAGGCCTGGCCTGGCCCTGAGGGCTTCCTGGGGGCGGCGGTACATCTGCCTGGACTCCAGGTACAGGTCCCCGTCAACTGAACGGGGGGAGGGGGAGAGCAGGGGGCCCAGGCACCCTCTGTTCTCAGGGACAGGAACCGGCTCCAGGCTTCCTGAGCTTAGGGGTCTATCCTCCCCCCATCCCAGGAGGGCGGCACCTAGGCCTACCTCCTTCTGGGAAGTGAGATGGAAGGAGGCACCCACAGTTCCCAGGGCCTCTGGGTGGTGGTGGGGTTGCTTCTTGCTGGGATTTTGCCCTTCTATGTGAGGCAGAAGTGGATGAAGCACTCTGGGCAAGATGTGGAAGGTGTGATCGGGTGGGCCGTGAAGCCAGGGACAGAGTCTGGCCAGGCATGCCTTGCTCCAGGCCAAACCCAGTTTCTGGGAGCTCTGGGAACACCATATTCCCGGGGGCTCAGGCAGCCCTCTGAAGGACACCTGGGACAGTTATTGAGTGCAGAGCTGGGCCGCTGCTGGCAGCTAAAAAGGGAAAGCTTTGGCCTGGATAACAGAGCTTTCCCTGAGGACACACAGGTCCCAGGCTCTCAGCACAGCCGGTTAGGGGGGTACCAGGCGGGGGGTGCCTGGCAGTGCCCCTCTCCCCAAGTGTGAGGCAGGGGGTCTCACTGCTGGCTGTACCCTACCCCGCTGGGCCGAAGCTAGGCTGGGAGCAAGTGTCAAGCCCCTGCCCCTGGCTCTCCAGGCCACTCTCCAGCAGAATGTGGACAACCTGACCGTGGTCCCCGCAGAGCCAGAGAGTCGGCAGAAGGTGCAACAACTGGTGAGTCCCAGGTCAGGGGCTGGAAGGGGCCTGTTGGAGGGGGGCAGATTTGCCTTTCCCCCCACCCTGAGGAGCCCTTGATTCTGACCCCGAAGGAGTCTGAGCTCAGTAAGAAGCGGAAGAAATGTGAGAGCTTGGAGCAGGAAGCCCGTAAGAAGCAGAGGCGATGTGAGGAGCTGGTGAGTTCTGGGGGGCTGCCCAGGAACCTTGTCTTGCTTCCCTGGGGCAGCTGGAGAGTGAGCCCCCCTGTCAGGGCTTCCCTCCTGAAATGCCAGGCTTTCCCAGCTGCTGCAGGCTTCAGGCAAGGGGAGGAAGGGTCTAGTGTGTGGGTGCTGGCAGCCCCTACAGAGTGTCTGTGCCCCCACCTAGGAACTGCAGCTGAGAGAAGCCCAGAGTGAGAATGCCCGTCTTGTGGAGGAGAACTCACGGCTCCATGGGAGAGCCACAGAGAAGGAGCAGGTACCATTTCTGCACACATGTGTTCAGGGGTCTGGGTCCCCAGCAAGGGCGTCAGTTGGGCATGGCCAGCCCTGTTCCTTCCTGGTGAGGGAGTGAGTGGGCCAAGGCCATATGCCCCGCTCCCTGCTCCGGTTCCTTTGCCAGGTGGAGTGGGAGAATTCGGAGCTGAGGGGCCAGCTCCTAGGGGTGACGCAAGAAAGGGACTCTGCCCTTCGCAAGAGTCAGGGCCTGCAGAGCAAACTGGAGAGCCTGGAGCAGGTGCTGAAGGTGAGGGGGCTGTGTGCTGAAGGGAGGGCACTGGGCTCCCAAGCGACTGGGACCCAAGGCTCCTTATTCTTGGAGTTTCCTATAGAAACTGTGGAGCTGGGAGCGCTGGCCTTGATCCAGTCTTGTCTTGCAGCACATGCGGGAGGTGGCCCAGCGGCGGCAGCAGCTGGAGGTGGAACATGAGCAGGCTCGGCTCAGCCTGCGGGAGAAGCAGGAAGAAGTCCGGAGGCTGCAGCAGGTGTGGGCAGGGGCGAGGGCAGTATGGTAGGCTGGCAGGCTGCAGCCTTGCCGCCCACCTGGCTCACCTCTATGGTGCACCTGTTGCGTGCCAGGCCCTGCACTAGGCACTCAGGAGACAGTGGTGAGGGAGGACTGAGTCCCGCCCAACTAGCACACGAGCGGATCCATAGAGGAGCTGATTCGAGGCACTGGCCAGGGACGTGGGAGAGACGCACAGGGCGAGGTGGTTGAGCGACTGGGACTGGGTGAGAAGCCACTTTAGGAAAGTCAATAGGGAGGCCTCCCTGCAGAGGCAAAGACCTCAGGAGCACCTGCAGGTGCTCTGTGCCAGAGAGAGCTAGATCCGAGAGCAGTGTGGTTAGGATATAGCAGGAGTAACCAGGAGCCAGCGGTGCTGGGGCTAAACTGGCCTTGCGGAGGGTGCAGACACAGCACTCTGTGAGTAGAAAGGTCTAAGCAGGTTCCTAACTGCACAGGATCACATGTGGTTGCTAGGGGCAGCTGTGGAGTAGGGAGCATGGGGGGGGTACAGGGGTCCGCAGGTAGGTGGCGGCCATCTGTGCCAGAGGACAAGTGATTTGAAATGGGGTCTGGAGACTGACTGTAGTTCCAGCTGAATCCCTCTGTGGTAGTCTTTGCTGTCTGCACCTGCTGGGGGAGGGACGAGTGGTGGAGGAGAAGGGTAATAGAGCTGGGAGGTGGGGAGTCCTGAGTTCCAAGTTCAAGCATGTGTATCAGCATGCAAGTGGTGGCTTTGATGGGACCCCTTGGGGGCAAGGGCAGGGTATAAAATGGCCCAGCACACTGTCCAGGGCACCTTAACCTTCACAAGTGGAGTAAGGGGCAGGTTGCAGAGGCTAAGGAGGAGCGTCTGAGAGCTGGGAGGACCACCAGGAGGGTGGCGTTGTGGGAAGAGGAGCTGGGGAGGGAGCAGCCTGTCAGCCCCTGCTTCCCAGCGCCCCAGTCCTTTTTTCCCTTGTCTTTCCCTCCCCTGGTCCCCCCCACCTGCCACTTCCTGCCTCTGCAGCGTCTGCCTCCTCCCACCTGCAGGCCCAGGCAGAAGCAAAGAGGGAACATGAAGGGGCTGTGCAATTGCTGGAGGTAGGGCCTGGAGAGGGAGGCGGGGCTTCCAAGCTGCACCCCTGGACAATGCTTGGGTACCTGGGAAGGGGGCTGGAGGAGGGGTCTTGGATCGCTCCAAGGCCTGGGGAAGGCCCAGTCCATAAGCAGGGGGCTCCCCTTGCCCAGTGCCAGGGGCTGCCTTGAGCCTCCCTGCAGCTGGGCACTGCTGAGTCAATCCGAGGAGCCGACCTGACGGAGCGTGCTGAGAAAGCCCTTTCTGCCCCTCCCTCGCTTGGTCAGTGACCTGCAGGGTAGGATTCTAACTTCTGCTCTGTGCTTTCCTTCCCTGCGCAGTCTACCTTGGATTCCATGCAGGTACAGCTCCCTGGCCCCCGCCCTTCCCTTCCCCTTCCCTTTCAGGTCCAGTTGGGAGTGTCATTGGCACAGAGCTGGGAATCCTTGGGTGGGCCAGGATGGAGCTGAGAGAGCCCAGAGGTGATATTGGTGGGAGGGGTAGGTAGGAGGAAGGCAACAAGGATGTGCTCCAGCACAAGGCTTCGTCTGCAACTTAGACATCATTGAGCCCATGGGGGACAGCTGGGCTGAGGGCAGGTGGCTGTGGACTGAGGCTGTGTGGCGATGGTACGGGCTGGCACTGGTCATTTATGGCAGGCCTGGTGGCTCATGGGGGGTCTTTTTTGACCCAGGCACGGGTTCGAGAACTCGAGGAACAGTGCCGGAGCCAAACTGAACGCTTTAGCCTCCTGGCACAGGAGCTGCAGGCCTTCCGCCTCCACCCTGGCCCCTTGGACCTGCTTACCTCCGCCCTGGGCTGTGGTGCCCTCGGTGATCAGCCATCACCCCCCTGCTGCTGCTCTGCCCCCCAGCCCTGCCAGGGGTCTGGCCCCAAAGGTAAGCTGGACTGTAGGGACATTGACCTGGAATCCCCAGGCCCATGGCTTTGGTAGAAAGCGAGGAAGGACAGCAGCTCACACAGCATCACAGCTGTGCCTGGAAAGGTGCTAGCACTGATGAAGAGAAACAGCGCTCCCTAGCTAGCTAGACCTTGTGGCCATGGCTGTGAGGGGGTCATGTGACCATGGGAAGAGCCAGGGACTGGGGAACAGTCAAATTTGGTGGTTCCAGCTCTGCTCATGTACCGGTCATATGACTGTGGGTGGGGCTTGTGAGATTTGAGGCCCTATGCTAGCCAATAGGAATCCTTACACGGATCACATCAAGCTGCTCCTACGGTTGTAGGCAACAATGTTCCTCTGCTTAGTAAGTTTCCCTTCACAGACCTCCCTTCTGAAAGGAAATCTGGACAAGGAGGCATCGGGCTGGATAAAGAGCCACATGGCTGTGTCCTGCCTTCCTGGTCCCACCTCAGGCCACACATCCCAATCCTCACTCCCCCCCCCCCATTTTCTCTTTAGACCTTGACCTCCCGCCAGGCTCCCCAGGGCGTTGCACCCCAAAGTCTTCTGAGCCCACCCCTGCCATGCTCACTGGAATCTCTCGAAGGACAGCGAAGAAAACAGAATCTTTCTCTAATTCCTCTCGCTCCGAATCCATCCACAACAGTCCCAAGTCCTGCCCTACGCCTGAGGTCAGTGCTGCGGAGAGAGACTGGGGCTCTGGCCCTGGGGCTGGGGTGGAGGGGAAGAGTCTGACCTCTCCTGGTGTCCCTGGGGAGTTGGGTGGCTATAGCGAGGTCCCAAGTTGGGAGGTAGATTCTACCTTGCGGTCAGGAAGTGCAGGTGGAAGCTGTGGTGACCGTCAGGAGCCACCAGACCTGTCTGAATGTCAGGGCCAGTACTCCGTCTTCTCTGGTGGTTGGAGGAGAGATGACATGCCACGCCACCTGCAGGGAGCTGTCTCTATGGGGACACACAGCCGGTGCCAGACATGTGGCATCCGTTGTCATCCTTTCCTCAGCCATCGATCATCCCTCTTTTTTTTCATCTCTTCCTTCCTCCTACCCATAAACCCTGAAAAAAAACGGGGGGGGGGGGCGGGCGGTGCAGATCAGGAGCAGCCCTGCTTTTTCCAGGGTTTCAGAAAGGGAACCTCTCCTGCCCCCTGGGGGGAAGGAGTGGTACTGCTGGGTGTGTAGCTGGTCCTGAGGGGCTGCCTCCTGGAGCCCCTACTTGCCAGGCCTTGCTTGGCCCAAAAGAGAGGACCACCTGTTTCCAGGCCAGCCTCAGCCACCTGAACCAGAGTCAGAGGATCTGGAGCACTCCCAGTCATGGGTCGGACAAGTGGACAGGAAGTTCTGAGTTCCAGGGCCAAACCGCAGTAGCGTTGTCACCAGGCTAGAGGCCAGGGCTTTGCCAGGCCTTCTGATAGATATGTCGTCGGGCAGCTGCTTGCCACTGGCCTCGTCCAGCACACCAATGCTCTCTTTCCTGCCTCAAAGCACCGGGCGGCTCCACTCCGTGGGCCCAACTGCCTGTGTTGCCTCTGGCCCTGGGCCCTGGAGAGGATCCAGCCCTTTGTGTCTGCCCCCCAGGTGGACACAGCCAGCGAGGTGGAGGAGCTTGAGGCAGACAGCATCTCCCTGCTCCCAGCAGTGCCAGAGGGCAGCCGGGGAGGAGCCAGGATTCAGGTCTTCATAGCACGCTATAGGTGAGCCTGTCACCTTCACTCTACCTCATCCCTGATCAGCACCTAAGGGGATCGGGAGGAGGGGGCAGGGATGGAGTTGTTACGGATGGTGTGGAGGTCCCCACTGGACATGCTAGGTGGGGCAAGGTGGGCACCGTGAGTTACTTCTCTGGGAAGGCCCATGGGGAGGGAAGGCAGGTATGGCAGAGACAGGTCCCTGTCCTCCGCCGTCTCCTCGTCCTCTGTGCCTCTTCTCACAGCTACAACCCCTTCGAGGGCCCCAATGAAAATCCAGAGGCGGAACTACCGCTGACGGCCGGTGAATACATTTACGTCTATGGCAGCATGGACGAGGATGGCTTCTTTGAAGGTATAAAGGCAGCAAGGGGTCACTCTGTCCCTTCCTCTGCTGTTGGGCTGCTGTGCCCATTCGATGTCCCCTCTGTTCAAGTGCAGGGGGGAGAAACTGGGGGCCTGAGCCCAGGAGAAGGGGTAGCATGTGAGCTTTAAGAAGATCCTGCAGTCGATATGGGGGAGCCGTAGTCACAGGGCTCCTGCAGTGAGTGGGCAGGGCCTGTGAGAAGCAGGGCTCAGGGTGGCCCTGGCCCGATGCCAGGTGGCATTCTCCAGCGGTGTTAAGGATGACACTGGGTGAGGCCTGGACAGGGGCTGTGTGTCTGTATGGAGGGTCTAGGACAGAGGTTGGTATGGGTCCGAAGGCGTCAGAGCCTGCTCAACGACTTCCCCTGGGCCTTGTGCCTGTGGTTGGAGCAGCTTCTGACAGTGGTAGTGCCTGGTTTTGTGGCTTAAGCAGTGAAACTCTCCATAGGAGCAGGATTCTATAGCTTCCCAGAGAACTGGACTTTGGGAAGAAAGTCAAGGTCAACCCTAAATACCTGTTTCTGGAAGCAGGCAGCACCTGGTGGACTCACCACCAGGAACTGGCACTTGCGCTGGATGGCTGGGTCAGATTGGGGTAGGCTTCTTTTTATGTATACATATATATAGATACTGGCAGCTTTTTTGTTTGTTTGTTTTAAAGATTTATTTATTATTGGAAAGGCAGATGTACAGAGAGGAGGAGAGACAGAGAGGAAGATCTTCTGTCCGATGAGTCATCGTCCAGTGATTCACTCAACTGCTGGTGCTGAGCCGATCTGAAGCCAGGAGCCAGGAACTTCTTTCCGGGTCTCCCACATGGGTGCAGGGTCCCAAGGCTTTGGGCCATCCTTGACTGCTTTCCCAGGCTACAGGCAGGGAGCTGGATGGGAAGTGGAGCTGCTGGGATTAGAACGGGCACCCATATGGGATCCTGGCGTGTTCGAGGCGAGGACCTTAACTGTTACGCCATCACGCTGGGCCCGGGGTAGGCTTCTTGACTCTCTCACTGCCCTCTTCTGGAGGCTGCAAGGTGGGAATCCCTGGCTCAGCACCGCTGTCATCCCAGCTGTGCTGCCAGGTGTCCTTGGCTGTGACCGTGGCTACACAGTCTGTGTCTGTGGTCGCCTTGCCTGCCCTGCGTCCCATAGGATCTCTGTCTTCTCAGAACACTCCCACTCAGGAGGGGTTCAGACTCCCACCAAGTGATCTAGTTAGGGATCTCGGCCTGACATCCTTAATCTCATTGCATTTGCAAATATCTCTCTCCAAATAAGGGCATGTTCAAGGGTTCTAGGGATTAAGACAGGGTTCTGGGTAACTGCCTTTTAATTCCCTGTAACCAGGTCAGAAGTTATACCTTCAAATTAAAAGGTTTAATCACCTATTTGACAAAGAGAGAGACAAAGCACTTTCATCTGCTGGTTCACTTCCCAAATGCTTGCAACAGCCAGGGCTGGGCCAGGAGCCTGGAGCTCCACCCTGACTTGCCCTGCCTGGCTGCACGTCCACCCCGCCCCCAGTCCTCAGGTCTGTCTAAAATCCACTGCCAGAGCTGAGAGTTTCCAAAGAAGATGGTAATCCACAGTCATAGAGCCTCCACCCAGGGTGAGCAGCTGTGCACCCCATGCTAGGTGGGCTTTAGTCTTATATCAGTTAAGAGACAGCCGAGGAGCAGCTTCCTAGACACCGTGGCCTTGCATCTAGAAATAGCTCTTCTCCGCATGGCCACTTAGACGTGGTTGTTCTGTGTCTCCGTCTGTGCGGAGCTGGTTGGAGCTGTGCGCTGAGCTCCACCCTGGCAGCGTTGGATGGGCGTTTCAGCAAGCCTCTGGGTGCTTCTCCACCCGCATGCCAGCAGCCCGCTCCCAGTCACTCACACAGTGATTCCTCCTGTCCCCTCCCTACACTGAGAGGGAACCTGTGACTGGAACCCAGGGAGTGACTTTGCTGCATCATTGGCCTGTTTTTTTTTTTTTTCTCTCCTTTCTCTGTCTGCCCTTTCCCATCCCCCACCTCTGCCAGGGGAACTCATGGACGGCCGACGGGGCCTGGTCCCTTCCAACTTTGTAGAGCGTGTGTCCGATGACGACCTCCTGACCTCCCTTCCCCCGGAGCTGGCCGACCTGTCCCACAGTTCAGGGCCTGAACTCAGTTTCCTGAGTGGAGGTGGGAGCGGCTGTCATAGTGAGGCCCAGAGCAGCGGGGGCCAGAGCCAGCCTAGATGCGAACAGCAGGAGGACACAGCTGAAGAACTGGGTGTGAGCCCCCCGCCGGAGGGACTGGGCGAGCCTCCTGCCGTGCCTTACCCCCGCCACCTGGTAGTTCTCAAGCAGCTGGCCCGCAGTGTGGTCCTGGCGTGGGAGCCGCCACCAGAGCGTGTGCAGCTGCTTGGCTTCCGGATCTGCGTGAACGGGGAGCTGCGGCAGGCCCTAGGACCCGGGGCACCTCCCAAGGCTGTGCTTGAGAACCTGGACCTGCAGGCTGAGCCCCTCCACGTTTCTGTCCAGGCCCTGACCAGCAGAGGCGGCTCAGACCCTCTGCGCTGTTGCCTAGCTGTGGGTGCTCGGGCCGGAGTGGTCCCGAGCCAGCTGCGGGTTCACCGCTTGACAGCCACATCTGCTGAGATCACCTGGGTGCCCGGCAACAGCAACTTGGCCCATGCCATCTACCTCAATGGGGAGGAGTGCCCACCTGCCCACCCCAGCACCTACTGGACCACCTTCTGCAACTTACGACCTGGCACGCTCTATCAGGCCAGAGTAGAGGCCCAGCTCCCAACCCGAGGGCCCTGGGACCCAGGCTGGGAGAGGCTGGAACAACGGGCTGCTGCCTTGCAGTTCACCACACTCCCAGCAGGTGAGCAGACTTGAGCACAGACTCCAGCACCTGCTGCAGACTGGGCCTGGGGGTGTGGTGGGAAGAGAGATTCAGCAAAGGGGGCGGGACTTGCCGGCCAGGAGTGCTTTGATTGCATTGTTGGGTCTTGTGCCCCACCCAATCCCAGGCCCACCTGATGCTCCCCTGGATGTGCAGATAGAGCCAGGACCCTCCCCTGGAATCTTGATCATCAGCTGGCTTCCAGTCACCATCGACGCTGCTGGGACCTCCAACGGTGTCCGGGTCATGGGCTATGCCGTCTATGCCGATGGGCAGAAGGTATGGCCTAGGGATTCTGCCTGCCTAGACTTGGGGTCCTAGTCTGGGGGTTGGCCTGGTTTCTTGGGCCCAGCCCACGGATGTCCAATCCCTGGCATTTGGGCACTGTATGGCAGATTGGGTAAGGGCATGTGCCTTGGCAGCTGGTGATAGATTTGAAAACAGTGACAGCACTGAAGCTGTGAGGCTAGAAGCATTGTGAGCAGGCATGCGGAAGGCTGACGGGCACCCGGCCCACTGCAATGCCAGCTGCTGCTGCTGTGTCCTCCCTTGGTGGCTCAGCGTGCCTGCCCCCTCCTGTGTTCCCTCCCCACTGCAGATCATGGAGGTGGCCTCACCTACGGCAGGCAGTGTGCTGGTGGAGTTGTCCCAGCTGCATCTGCTGCAGGTGTGTCGCCAGGTGACCGTGCGCACCATGTCGCCCCATGGCGAGTCGGCTGACTCCATCCCCGCTCCTATCGCCCCTGCCCTGTCTCCAGCCTGTTTGCCTGCCAGGGCCTCTTGCCCCTCTCCACGACCAAGCCCCGAGGCCAGATCACCTCTTGCTCCAGCCTCTCCAGGGCTTGGAGACCCTGGCCCTCCCTTACAGCGCCTCGCTCCCCATGGAACGCAAGATCCCCCAGGGGGACCTCCTACAAACCCTGGCAGAGAGTCGCCGAGAGGACCCCAAGAGGAACCACTGGCACCTTGCTCCCAGGTACCTGTCTGGGGAGACTGGGCAGGTGCAGGCTGAGAGAAGGGCTGAGAGAAGGGCTGGGGTGCAGCCTCAGTGTCCTGCATTTCAGGAGGAAGCTGGGGAAGCTGCTTTGGGCACTACAGACGAGAGGAGGGCCAGCGAACCAGCCCTGGCCGAGGGAGGCCGTGGCCCTGTGGCTCCCTCCATGGCCAAGCAGGAGGTTGAGTGGACGGCAAGAGAGGCCTGTCTGGCCTCCTGCTCCATCCAGGGGGCCGTGGTCCAGAGGGCACCCGGTTCAGAGGCCTGCCACGGAGGAGATACAGGCTCCGGGCTGGGATCCAGGGCCGAGGTAGGAATCAGGGACGTGCTGGGCCACCTCAAAGATGCAGTCACCTTCTGCCACCCATATCCAGCATCCTCTCTGCTACAGCGTTCTCTGTGCTCTGATTCTGTCTGTTATATCTCTCTTCCCAGCCCTCTCTCATTTGGCTCCCATCCTCCATCCTCCTCTCCACCTCCTCTCAGCTCAAGCACATCCTCCATTCTGGGCTCTTTCTCCCTGTGCCAGGGCACCTTTTAAAAATTTTATTTATTTTTTTAAATTTGAGAGAGAGAGAGAGAATGTTCCCATCTACTTGGTTTTACTTATTTATTTTGCCCCAATTGCCTGCATAGCCAGGGCTGGGCCAAGCTGAGCCAGAATCCAGAAACTCAGTCTGGGTCTCTCACTTGAGTGTGGCAGGAATCTGAATGCTGAGCCACAAGCTCTGCCTCCCAGGACCCATGTTAGCAGGCAGCTGGAGTTAGGAGCAGAGCCGGGACTGTCATCCAGGCACTCAGTAAAAGCTGCAGGTGTCCGAGGCAGCGTTTTAGCCAGACAGCCTCCACAAGAGACCCTTTTCATTCTGACCCTGTGGCCCCTGGTGGTCTTCACTGATGTCCCCTCCCTCCCACCCCGCTGCTCCCTGCTGATCTCCTGCAGGAGGACACGACAGGGCTCGGAGCTTGTCTGGTGAACTCCCTCGTGGATCATGGCCGCAACTCAGACCTGTCAGATATCCAGGAAGAAGAAGAGGAAGAAGAAGAGGAGCTGGCTTCCAGGGCCTGCTCCATTCAGAAGCAGGTTGCTGGCCAGAGCAGCAGGGAGAACGGGGCCAAGGTAACGGGGTGGGGAGAGACTGGTGGGTCCCAAACCTCAGACTCCGGGTATTGGCAGCTGTTCCCACCGCCCCTGAGTGCCGACATGCTAGGTGTGTGACAAGGGCCCTGACCTAGGCAGCCAAGGGAAAGTCATCTCCGCCCTCCTGGGAGGAAATGGGTATGTGTGTGGGGGGGGAGCCCATATTTTTTTTTTCTGAGCCTTCTCTGGCAATGGGACCCAGGGCTCTGGCAGGGGGAACTGGTGCCATCTGTGAGCCCTGTGCTGGGAGCTTCAGGCGAGGGGGGTGGAACTTTACACTATGACTGGTGTGGCAGCTGCCCAGTGGGGGCAAACCCTGATACTCCCCAGTTCTGCTTAGATGTGGATATGACTTCAGGGCAGCCTCGGTCTTTTTTTTTTTTCTCTGAAGTGACTGGGGGCAGGCTGTGGGCCTCCTTACCCCTGTCCTCATTTGAAGGCAAAGATCACAGCCCCTGATGCCCGCCCCTGCACACTCTCCCCCGTCCCTCCTCCTGGACGCCTGTCCCTGCCACTGTCTGCTGCGCCCTCCCCCCAGGCGCAGCCCCAGCTGGACGCCTTTTGTGAGGCTGACAGTGATGAAGAGATTCTGGAACAGATCCTGGAGCTGCCCCTCCAGCAGTTCTGCAGCAAGGAGCTCTTTAGCATCCCGGAGGAGGAGGAAGAGGAGGAGGAAGAGGAGGAACAGCTACAGGAGGCAAGCCGGTCCTCCAGAGCCCCTGGTCTGCTGGCACCTGCTCTGTTGGGGCTCCACAGTGGCCAGCTCCAGGGCCCCTGCCCAGGTCCATTGTCTTTGGAGTCGTCCAGGGCCGGCGACCGCCTGGAGGATGGGCCAGGAGTTGTTGGCGGAAATGGCCGGAGGAGAGGAGGGGGCTCTCCCGAGAAGCCCCCGAACCGCAGACGGCCTCCTGACCCGCGGGAACACTGCAGCCGGCTTCTCAGCAACGGCCCGCCCCAGGCCTCTGGGCGGCCGGGTCCCATGCGCGACCGCGACCGGGGCAGCCCTTCTGTGGCAGAGGGCAGCAAGACCGGATTAGAGGCTGGTGGGAGACGGCTGGGACCCTCCCGAAGGTGCTCCCGGGGCCGGGCCCCAGAATCCAGCCTGGCCAGCTGCCTCTCGTCCAAGTGCTTGGAAATCAGCATCGAGTACGATTCTGAGGACGAACAGGAGGCAGGAAGCGGGGGCTTGAGCATCAGCGGCTCCTGCTACCCTGGAGATGGGGAGGCCTGGGCCACAGCACCTGTGGCAAGGCCCAGGGGGCCCCTGAAGGCCAGTTTAGGCCCCAGCCCCTCCCCACGCCTCCCAGCCTGGGAGAAAGGGGAGCCAGAGCGGAGAGGCCGCAGCACGACTAGCCGAGCCAAGGAGTCTCCCTCGCGGGTCCGTGTCCACTCCCTAGCCCGGGCAGCCCCCTGCCTGCTGCTTGCTGGCCACTGGTCACCCCCATTCCACTCTGCCGCCTCCATCAGCAGAAGGGGGGGGCTGGGCCTCAGGGCTCTCTCACGCGCTCCTCCCACCCACATCTCACTGCTTTGCTGCTTCTGCCAACCTGCAGCCAGGAGGCGCAGTATTCGGGTATCTGGCATCACCTTTTGGCCCTGTTAGTGGCCCTCGCTTGTGCCGAGTTAGCGATATCTTCAGGACACGGACCATGGCAGCATGTTTGGAGGCTGCTAGACTTAGCATAGCCACTCTCCACACTCCTCAGGCCAAGTCTGGTCCCCTCTGCTGCACTCACCTTCTAGGGGGACTGGGACTGGACCCCCCACCCCAGGGTTTTTGGGAAGGTTGGGTGAGACCTGCTATGCTGTTGCTCTTCTGTGTTGCTTACGCTGCTGCTGCTGCTGCTGCTGCCAGGCAGAGCCAGGGCGCATGGGCGGGTGGGACGCTGTGTCACCTTAGCCTTCTGGAACCTTCTTTTTGCAGGTAGTAGAGCCTGGGGAACTCAGGGGGCAGGACAGCTCTGGGCGGAGGGTCCTGCAGAGGAGAGGAGCTCGGGTCCCCAGGCCAGGAGTCAACGAGCTGGGTGAGTGCCTGTGTGGTGGGTGGGGGTTGGTATGGACTTGAGGGGGTGGTCTTTCCTAAGCCCTGCGCTGTAACTCATCGAGTCCCTGGGCTGTCCACAGCCCTGTCCACAGCCCCTCCGAGGAGTCCTTCCGAAGCACCAGCTCACCAGGACCTCCCTGTTCGGCTCTTCGTGGCTCTGTTTGACTATGACCCCGTGTCTATGTCCCCCAACCCTGATGCTGCAGAAGAGGAGCTCCCCTTTCGGGAGGGCCAGATTCTGAAGGTAGGACTGAGCCACGCCCCCCGCCCCCCAAAGCCCAGCCTGGCCTACGTCTTCCTGTTCTCTCTTGCTTGGCACCACAAGGGTCAGTGTGTGACCTTGCCTGGAGGCCCTCACTCCTGTCTGCTGGCTGGCGAAATGGAGATAACACGAATGTCACTCTTACCAGATGGTCTGTGGGCTGTGCAGGAAGTGTGTGAACGCCCAGCCCTTCAGCTGTTGCTGCTTCCATGGTCCTGCTGCTCCGAGGTTTCGGGGCTTCAGGCTGGGGTTGGGGGCAGCAGGCCTACAGGCAGTGACTGCTGCTGCCATTGAAAGTCATCTTCCCTGAACCCTGGGATCGTTGCTTGCTGTCGTCCCTGCTTTCTATTGCACAGAGGGGAAAGGTCTTCTGGCACCTCTCCCCCAGCCTCAGGGTGCGGGTAGCTGCTGAGTTGAGAGCCTGGGGTACAGGGAGCAAGCCCAACTGGTTTCTTGAGGCAACTGGTCTTTGCCACAGGTGTTTGGGGACAAGGATGCTGATGGCTTCTACCGGGGTGAAGGCGGGGGCCGGACAGGCTACATCCCCTGCAACATGGTGACCGAGGTGGCCGTGGACAGTGCCATGGGGAAGCAGCAACTGCTGCGGCAGGGCTACCTGTCTCCAGAGGCGCTTGCTGAGGCCTCAGGTAGGACTCGCTTCCCGTCGCACCAGCCTAGACCCACCCCAGGGATCACATATGTCTGGGCAGCCTCATTTGTCCAAGCCCCAGCGGGGCCCAGCCAAGCCCCTGCACAGAAAAGCATGATGCCCTGTGACTTGTGTTTGGAGTCCTGCAGGGGAGGGGGATTGGCTCTTGTTGGGGCCGGGAGTTGCCAACCATTAAAGACCAAGGTAGGGAACCCTGACATGACCCTAAGTATCCATTACAACTCTTGTCCTCGCCTACACCTGCCCTGCCTCAGTCTCTCTTTCCTCTCTCCTTGTCTTCATCCATCAGGAAACGGTCCCTTTGTGTACTCCACAGCTCATACAGCAGGGCCTCCACCCAAGCCCCGACGTGCCAAGAAAGGTGGGAAGGACCATGTCCTCCCTGGTGCCCGTGGGCGGGGTGGCACTGCTCCGCTTTGGGAAGGCACCTGAGGGAATCAAGGCTTCTTGTCCCATGGGGGGCTTGATGCTGCTGGGGACCCCTGTTCCCCAAAGCTCCCTCTGCCACCACTGCAAGACCTGTGTAGCCTGGCACTCGCCTCATCCCTCTCTGGGTATGGGAGGAGGGTGCTGGCATGCCCTCTCTCTCTGCCCACCCTTGCCTCTCCATCCTTGGCACAAGGCCAATATCCTGCCTGGTGCCAGCCCCCTCCCGTGGAGATGAACTCGGGCCGGTGGCACAGGGCTCACTGGCTGGCTCTTTTACAGCAGAGACGGACAACTCTGCCCAGCCCGGCCCAGGTGAGGAGTAACCCCTGATGTCAGGATGGGGGTGGTGGTGGTGGTCATGTTTGGAAGGGGGTAGCATTGGGGTGGGCAGGCCTCAGGCTTTCTCTCCCTGAACAGGGCCACCCCAGTCCATCATCTCCTCGGCTTGCCTGAAATCAGCCCATTCCATGGTAGCTGCGTTTGACTACAATCCCAGGGAGAACTCCCCCAATATGGATGTGGAGGTAAGGGACCCCCCCCCCCCAGAACGTCTCCAGTAAAGAGGAAAGATAGCATGGCCACTGTGGGCCACACACCTATGTCTCGCTGTCCCGGCAGGCGGAGCTGCCCTTCCGGGCGGGGGACATCATCACTGTGTTCGGGAGCATGGACGACGATGGGTTCTACTACGTGAGAGCTTTGATGGGGGTGGGGGCAGGGAAGTGCCTCAGAGCTGGCTGGAGCAGGGATGGCTCCTGGCCCCCTAGCTCTGGCTGTTGCTCTCTGGAGACTTCATGGTCAAGGCCGGGACCTCTTTCCTGGGTTCATTCTCACCAGCTTCTCCTCCCCAGGGGGAGCTGAATGGACAGAGAGGCCTGGTTCCATCCAACTTCTTGGAGGACCCTGGGCCTGAGGCAGGAGGCCCCAACAGGGATCCCAGTGCACCCCAGGCTGAGGTTCAGGTCAGTGAGCAATTGGCTCTCAGCTGAGCAGTTTAGTTTGTGCCTTGCTGGGGTGGTGGCAGCTGGGAGCGGGGGGCGGGTATCAGGACCATGTCATGGCTGGGACGACAACACAGGTGCCCCCTGTGTCCAGGGTGTCACTGCTGAGCCACTGCTAGAGAGCAGCCAAGCATCCCAGCATGTAACCTCTGGCTGCAGAGGTATGACAGCAGTGACCTTGACCCCTAGGTTTTCTGACCAGCTGGCAGCATCCCAGTGCTGCCAGAGGTGAGGGATTCATGGGCAGGAGGTTCCTGCCCCTCCAACCCTGGCTGGTCATCATCTTCATTGTCCCCTCAGGGTGTTCCCACCCAGCTGGGTTGCCCTCCACCCTGCTGCAAGGACCATGTGTCCCTCCTGAGTTGGGCAACCTAGCAGGCAGCCTCAGGGCAGGGCCTGGGTGAGGGGCCCCGACTCGCTCCAGGAAACTCAGGGCTTTGATGTGCAGCAGTTCCAAATGCAAAGGGCACACGGAGCCGGACCTGCTCCTGTGCCCGGGCTATCTGCTGCTGCCGGCGGAGAGCGCTTGGGTCTGTGCGTAACCCGTCTCCTCTCTTTGTTGCCTGTTCTCAGAGAACGAGGAGGAGAAGAGTCCAGTGCTAGCTGGAGATAGATATATGTAGAGAGCGACATGTAAGTGGGGAGACAGCCCCCTGTGTCCTGTGTCACCCCCTCCACCATGACCAGACAGCACCCTCTCCCTCTGCCTTGTCTCATATGTTGTTTCCAAGCAAGGGAATGAGATCTGACCATGAGCCAAGTTTGGATCCTGGACTATCCCTCCTCTTTACCCTGGGCAGTGCCAGCTGTCTCCTTAGCTTGGCTGCCCACGGTGACACACCCAAGCCATGACTCATCCCTGATAGTGTAATGCCACATGGCTTTCGTGTTACAAGCCTGTGATTATTACTGGGGACAGAAGGATGGCACATCGAGGCCACTGGTAGTCAGAGCCTCCCCATCCTTGTCTTCTGCATGGCGGTGACCTAGGGGTGACCAGATGTCTAATTTCCTTCTGGCTCTTGTCATTTTGTCTGCTTGGAGGATAAGACAGAAGCCTGAATAGTTGAAACCCACAGTCAGTGCCAAGCCAGTGCTCCCCCTGCTTCGCAGCAATCCTGCCCTCCTGGGATGCAGTGGGAGGAACCCTGGGAGGGAGCCGGGGGGCAGGGCTCCCCAGCTGGGCAGCAGGCCTGGCCAGAGGCAGTAGGTACTTTGGCCTCTAGGCCTGCGAGGCAGAGTTGGGACCTTGGTTGTGCACCTGTTTCCTGGCCTGAGCTCTGGGCAATGGATGGGATTTGGGGGAAGAGAGGGTTGGGGGCCACTCAGGCTGGCAGGAGGCAAAAATGCAGGGCCAGGTACGGGGGTGTGGAGGGGACATCAGCACACAGAAGAGGGCTTTTGAGTCGCTCCCCTGCCTGCCCACTCCCCGTGCTCAGGCCCCTGAACGACTCTGCCTGGGTGGCCAGGGACACAAGCAGCAGCCCAGCGGCTTACAGGAGGAGGAGGAGATTTGGCAAGGGGGTGCTAAAGGCAGGGAAGTCTACAGGAGAGTGTGTGTGTTGTGGGGGGGCATGCAGGCTACCTGTGACTGTTTTCCCTGGGGACCCCCACCTCTCTGCCATTCAGGGGTGACTTCAGGAAATTCAAAGGCGAGTCCCCATTGCCTCCACGTGGAGCAGGCTCTGGGCTCCTCTTCACTGAGCTGGCTGAGGGAGGTTCTGTCGGTGAAATGCCAGGGGTGGGTTAGGGCTGGGGGGGCGTGCCCTCCCTGGTGGGGGCAGCCATACCACGTGGCCCATGCCATGCTTTTTCTAATTGAGAGAGAGTGAGGACAAACTGGGGTGCTGAGGATACCCATTCAGTGGTCAGGATCTGAGCATTCTTCTTTTTAAAATGATTATTTATTTACTCAAAAGGCAGACTTGCGGGGGCAGGTGGAGATCTTCCATCTGTTGGTTCACTCTCCAGATGAGTGTAAATGGTGCTAAGTCGGTTTGAAGCCAGGATCCAGGAGCTCCTTCTAGGTCTCCCACATGAATGCCAGGGCCCAAGTGCTTGGGCCATCTTCTGCCACTTTCCCAGATCATTAGCAGGGAGCTGAACTGAAAGTTGAGCAGCTGAGAGATGAACCAGCAACCGTGTGGGAAGCTGATACCACTGACTTTACCTGCTATATCACAGAGTTAGCCCCTCAAGAACTCTTGAGCTGTCAGCCTGTCATTGTCTCCTGGGACCCAGGAAGGGGAAGGGGCTTTCCTAGGGTCACAGGTGGACAGAGCTGAGACTGCATTTCCATCAGACTCCTCATCCAGTGTTCCCTCAGCACCGTCCCTCTCATCCCTCCTGTGTTCTGTGTGTCTGGGCAGGGGTAGGTGGGGGGCCTGGGGTACCCTGGTTCTGGGGCATTGGAGGTTTGGGTCCTTGAGCCTGCATGGATGAGCAGTCATGAGTGGACCAAGGAGTTGACCCTGACTCTGCCCCATCTTTTTCTCACGTTCTAGGACTGGGTCAGCACCACGCCAGGGTCCTCAAGACCCCCAGGCTGGGCCTGTGTCCCGGGTCCTGGCAGCCCCATGAGGATCAAACCGGGGCAGGCCCAGGGCACAAGCAAGATGGTACGGGGCCTTCTCTCCAAGGGGAAGCAGCTCCTCAGGCGCCTGGGCTCTGGGAAGAAGGAGTGATGCTATGACCAGCCCTGTAAGCCGAAGAGGCTTCAAGAAGCCCCCTGAGACCCTGTGGCCATCAGGGCTAGGCACAAGACATCTGTGTTGGCACTGGGGCCTTTGATGAGAATCAGTGACTCAGTAAGGGTTCGGTCCAGATGGTGTCTTTACGGATGAACCGTCTAGCTGGACCCCTTCCTCCTACAGCAGGGGAGACTGAGCCCATAGTGAGTAAGTAGCGTGGCCAAGGCCACTGACGCCTCAGCCAGGCCAGGACTGGAACCCAGACTCTGTCCCCGCTCAACCACTCCTGGTTTCCCACTGTGTTGTGTAGGTCCCTTACATAAGCTCTCGCCAAGCCAGTCTGGGGACCCTGGGGGAGAGGGGACCCATTCCCTCTGGTGGCTCTGGTTGTCCAGATCAAGTCTTCCCTGCCCTGAAGGAAACATTTGCACTGGATCCTCCCCAACTCGCTTCCCTTTGCGTGCGTGGAGCCATGTATATATTGTACATACTCAGTGCCTCGGTCCAGCTTCCTCCTCCTGCTTCCCCACATGGCATAGCCTGCCCACTGCTGGGGAAGAAGAAAGGCCTTGCCTGACTCCACCCACAGTGCTCCACCCCTTCTGCCCAGGGTCTTCTGGCTCCAAGCCCCAAGGGCCAGTGGGCAGCAAGCAGCAGTTGGGTTTGCCTTATTTTGTTCATTGGATTCAACTTGTCTTTTGCATCACTTTCCTTTGGCACCCCCATCAGAGTTGGGGGCCAGCAGGAAGGCCAGATTCATGCAACTATTTTCATACATTTCCTACACATCTATCATGGGATGGGGGCCCTGCACCCTCTACCCAGCCCCTGCCCTTGGAGGGTGAGTGTGTCTTGCATGTTTCCTTTGCCATGGTGGGAGTTTGTCTGATTGGACCCTACCCTCTCCTCGATCTCCAGGAGTGTGGGCTGGTGGGGGAATTTGTTTAAAACCACATTTTATTATAATAAAGTCTATTTTCACAAAATCTGTGTTGGACTGTACCAGGGCAGGGGTCTTTTTGAGGTGGGGGTCAGGCCTATTGGGCTTTGAACTGAAGTTGAGGACCTCAAGGTTAGAACCAAAGGGCGATGGGTGATGACTGATCCACACTAAACAGGCTGCCCTCTCGCACACTCATGCCTTCCCTCTCTTCTGGAAAGGTGCACATGTACACACACACACACACACACACACACACACACACACACATACATCTTCCATCTGCTAATTCTCTCCCCAAATGTCCCCAACGATCAGGGCATGAATTTGACCCATGTCTTTTATGTGGGTGCCAGGGGCCTAGGAATTTGAGTCATCACTTGCTGCTTCTCCAGTTGTGTGTTAGCAGGAAGCTGGATCAGAAGCAGAGCTAGGACACAAACCAGGAGTTCCACTATGGATGCAGGCAGCCAAGTTGTATGTACCAAGTGCTCTACACATTTTTTTTTTCTAAGTAGGCAGGCAGCTTCTTGAGCTCCAGGTGTTTGGGGCTGGGGCAGGTTGGTGGTAGAATGAGAAAGAGATCTGGGGAAGGGAACGGGGGGGGGGGAGACACACACAGAGAAGACATCCGCTTCAGGATGTGGGCAGAGCACACACCTCCATCTCGGGTTGACTTCTGTAGAAGTACTAGATGTGAGAAAAGCCCAACCAGCATGCAAATGCTACACGTAATTCCATTTGACATAAAGAAAGGGGACTCTCTGAGACAGCAAGATTCTGATAAAAGGGGCAATGATACTCAGAAACCTCAGAGCAGGGCGTGTTAGGGGGTGCAGAGGGTGGCCAAAGAGATCCAGCAGCCGCATGGTGGAGAGCAGGTGTCTGGACTGTCTTTGCCCACTGTCCCTCTCCCCAGGGGCCAGGGTGGGGAGAAGTGAGGATGTCTGTGGGTGGGAGTCGCAGGTCAGTGACAGCTGGCTGGCGGTCCTGGCAGACACAGGAAGCATCACCATCCAATTTCCAGGGTATGGTGGTCTCCTGCCCTGTGCACCCTCCAAGTTCCAGCAGCTGCTCTCACCAGCCTTCCAGCAGGGACTGTTGACTACTTGCAAGGAAAGCCCAGGTACCAGGTGGAGCCCCATGGCTCCAGTGCTGCAATTCTGGTCATGCACAGAACCCACAGCCCACCAGATCAGTGCATGGGGCCAGGACCGAGGCCCATACTGCTGTGGTCAGTCTGCTGCTGCTGGGCTGGGCCCCTGCAATTAGCCACAAGTGATATTGGCTGGAAGAAAAGGCCACCTAGCTGAAGCTTGCCCGACTTCGCCAAATTCGCACCTCACAGCCAGGAGCCAATAGACATTTTTTTCATGTCTTAACTGGCAGTAAGTTTATTAGTCTTTTTAAAACCTTAATGAGTCTGATTAATAAAGATGAGATTTAATTCTTTTAGTTTAATAGTTCTTTGGTGTATTTTTAAATTTTTTATTTGAAAGATTTTTATAGAAAGAAGGACAGAGACAGAGAAGTTCTTCCACCTGCTAGTTCATGCCTGCAATGGCCGCAATGGCCAGAGCTGAACAATCTAAACCAGGAGACAGGAACTTCTTCCGGGTCTCCCACGTAGGGGCAGAGTCTTGTGGAATTTGGACATCCTCCACTGCTTTCCCAAACCATAAGCAGGAAGCTGGATTAGATGTGGAGCAGCCAGGACTCCAATCGGTGCCCATGTGGGATGCCGGACTTGCAGGTGGTGACTTTACTCACTACGCCACAGCACTGACCCTCCTTTCTTTCCTTCGGATACTTACCTGGATACTTTAGAGGAAAAAGAATTGCTGATGAAATTTTACAAGTTCTGAGGAGAAATTTTATTAATTTATATACAATTTTAAAAAGAATACTTCAGGGGGGTAAAACCCATCAAGAAATGAGACAAGTCATTTATGAGTAAAACAATAGTATTTCGGTGAAGGATATTGAAGAAGACAAATAAGTGGAATGTGTTAGCCCGGATGTATACTTCACACGCCCAATAACTCATCAGTGACCGTGTCCCCAGGACCCAGATGAGTGTTGGAGACCCAGTAAACACGCGTGGAATGGATGAATGAACAAGGATGAGAAAACTATCTCACACAGATATCAACGCTGCCACGTTGGTATATGTAGCAATAAAAATCTCAACAAGATGTCTCATGGAACAAGCCTAGCATTCAAAGACTCCGAAGAACAGGTACATACATTAGAATGTGGAAGTTTCTTTCGAAAAGTAGAATGAGGAAAGGGAATTTATCTTACCAGAAATCAAAACGTATTAGCAAATTATAGTCGTTACAGTGATCTGATATTGACAATGAAATAGACAGATTAGTAAAACAAAACTATCTGGAAATGCAAAATTGATGGTAAATGACAAACGCGACATCTCAAATCGGTGGGAAGATGACAGATTATTCAGTTAAAGGCGTCAGGATAACTGTTAGCCATCTGGGAAGAAAGGCAACTGTTCCGTGCTATTCACATACATAAAAATTATAGAATGTTTAATGACCTATACATAAAAATCAGCATGAAGGTTGTATAGGAGTATATAGGAGAATATGTTTATGATCTTAAAATAGGAAAGATGGTTTTAAGTTGTTTTTTTAAAAATTTATTTGAAAGACAGAAAGGGAGAGACACATAACTAGATGATAGATAGCTAGAGAGATGATAGCTAGCTGGTTAGATAGAATCTTCAATTTGCTGGTTCACTCCCCACTGGCCACAACTGCTGGAGCTAGGCTGGTCCAAAGCCAGGAGCTGGGAGTTTCTTCTGGGTCCCCAAGTGGTTACATCTCACCTCCAATTCAGCTCCCTGCCAATGCACCTGGAAGCACAGGAAAATGTTCCGAGGTGCTTGCGTCCCTGCCACCTGCCTGGGAGAGGCACACAGAATTCCTGGCTCCTGGCTTCAGCCTGGTCCTGGTGTGACAGTTTAGGGAGTGAACCAGTAGACAGAAGTCTGCCTCTTTCTCCTTCTTTCTAACTCTGCCTTTTGAAAAGATAAACAAACCTTTACAGAATGTCGATTCAAAACACATCAAGATAGTACCTGTAGAATTCAAAATTAACTTTAAAAATTATCAGAGAAAACACAGTATGGCTGAGTGTGACTGAAGTGTCAGATCAGCACCCCTCCCCACCCCTCACCCCTGTCATCCTCACCTTCCTTAGCCTTCTAGGCTGCCTCCTTCTCTCCAGAAACACACACACACACACAGAGGAAACCTGGCTGTAATCCCAACTGAAGCGTTTCTTAAACAGTGTTGAGAAAGAACAAGCTGTTTTGCAAGCAGTAGCCAAGGGGGCCGTTATCCCACAACCTGTCGGCTTTGCCTCAGGAGAAACAGACTAAGGAGATCTGAGTGGGGAACCCTGAGGGCACAGCGAGTGTGTGTGTATGTGTGTGTGTGTGTTAGTCTTACAATCCCAAAATATCACAGTTTCTGCCGTGGCCTGCCAAGGCCACCCCCGAGGACGGGAAGCTGGAGGGTCACAAGACAAGACATGGGACAAGACACGGCTGGGGCATGTCCGGCCACGCTGTGTGCTGAGTCTCCAACACACCCAGAGCAGGCACGTGGGATCCAGGGTGGAGGGGGTGGAGGAGGTGTCTGCCAGACACAGACGGAGGAGGGCTGTGGTGACAATCATAGGATCTGTGGTCTGACTGTGGAGCGCCTGTGTCAGAACTAGGTCTCCATGGTTGCTGAGGTCCGTGTGGTGAGCGGTATGCCCAGGTGTTCATGGGGGACATGACAACCAGTTCATTGAGGCCTGCAGAGGATGTCTAGTACTATAGAGGGTAGAGCAAATTGGACATCTCTCCCAGGCAAATATCTGAGTGAACTGAGACTTGAAGGTGGGCTAAATCAGCCAGTGGACCTGGGAGGGATTACCTCAACCTTGGAGCAATGAAATCAACAGCATCTCAGAACTATCTTTTTTTTTTTTTTTAAGATTTATTTATTTTTATTGCAAAGTCAGATATATAGAGAGGAGGGGAGACAGAGAGGAAGATCTTCTGTCCATTGATTCACTCCCCAAGCAGCCACAGCGGCTAGAGCTGAGCCAATCCAAAGCCAGGAGCCTGGAACCTGGAGCCTGGAGCCTCTTCCGGTTCTTCCACATGGGTGCAGGGTCCTAAGGCTTTGGGCCGTTCTTGAGTGCTTTCCCAGGCCACAAACAGGGAGCTGGATGGAAGCGGGGCTGCCGGGATTAGAACTGGCACCCATATGGTATCCTGCTGCAATCAAAGTGAGGACTTTAGCTGCTAGGTTACTGCACCAGGCCCTCAGAACTATCAAAACCACCTAAAGCAGTATCCTCGGAACAGGTTCCTCATCGGGGACCCTGGGATGATGTCGGGTGGCCTTCCCCCACTCCTGGGTACTGATGCAGTTGGGTTACTGGGAGTGGCCTTTCCTCACTCTACTTTCCCCAGATACCAGAAGGAAAAAGGGGATTGAAGGCAGCTGTCTCATCTACTTTCCCCCATTGCTTGACCCTCCCCACTCTAATTGGAGGTCCTTATAGGCACGCATCCCTTTTAACTATATAAATATCATCAAAAATATAATGAATTTATTATTTTAAAACATTTAAGGACAAAAAATGTGCACACCTGAATATGAAACATTTTTCCTTCCTCATTATTGAAGTGAAAAACAATGCTCAATGTTGAAGGAAAAAAATATTAACCACAATCTAACTTCTTGTATTTTCAATTCATTTTTACTTATGCTTATTAGTATTCTCTAACTTCTCATCAATGAAAATAGGTTACTGATGAGATTAAAAAAGCATTTCCCAAAGGTCATACAATTCTAGAAGTTGATTCACAGCCATCCGACCAAGACCACAAGACAGCAAGCAGCTGGCAGAGCTAGGCTGCAGGAGTGCTTTCTCTCCAAGGACCTCAGGCCCTACACCCCACAGCAGACAGGAAGGCGGTCCAGCTGTCACCAGCCTTTGTTCCTTGGCCAAGACCTG